CACCTCAACATCATTTACACTGAAATAACGTTTTTCCACTGAAGTTGGGGAAATGTGATCAGAATTTTTCAGTAGTGTTAACTCATTTTTGAGGACTGTGTTTTCAACTCGCAAACGGATGAGCAAGTCAATCTCCTGGCTCTTGAAGTCTGTTTGAACACCTTTATCAACTGTCTCTATTTTATTGTCCTTACTCGAATCTGGAGTGCACTGACCATTGGCAGGTTGGGTGGTTGATACAGCTAAATCACTGACTGGGGTCCCATTACAAATCGCTTCAGTAGTATGTGGTTCTATAAAAAAAATAGTATAAATTACAATTTAGAAGGAAGAAGAAACAGTTTATTTTGATTAATTTGTCTAATTGGACGTCTTGGAAAATATTATATTATGTCAAGGTTTACATTAAGACATGAGTGAACCTCACCTGTCATAGTGTCTGTAGCAAGAAGCAGTAGACCACTTGCTGCACTTGAAACATCCATTGGTTTTGGAGGTTTTCTTTTTCTAGAAAAACGCTGAATCTAAAATTTAAAACGAACAAAAGAAATGAAATAAACCGGATATGATTAAAGTACAGTGACTAACAGCTACAGTACTATTTACAACTCAGTGCAACTATTACTTTAAATCGTCGTACCTGCTCCCCATTGTATGTCGCCGGTATAGGATCAGGGTGCTCATCGGAAGGCCCATTTTCTGAAACAAAATGTTTGCTGCATATGTATGTATCTTTCTTAATACTTTCCACTGAGAAATCTTGTCGTCCACAAGCATGAACCCACGTCTTGCATTTGTCTAGGTTCCGGTGTGGCTTCGGAAATCGAAGAAAAATAACATTTTTCATGTAGTCCCGGTCACTGTATCGAGAGTCACTCTTACAATTTCCATGGCAGCAATGTTTTGTTGTAACCATTATATAATGTCCAATAACAGTCCTTTCTTAGTAATGTAAGACGATGATTTCTGGACGATCCGGCCCTGGTCGCTTGCGGAAGCGAAGTGAAGTGGAAAGTAACGGCGACGACGATCCAACACTGCACTACATTGTCCGCAATTCAATATGGCGCCGGCGCATGCGCAGCCAAATTTCTATTTTTAGCCCTTACACAGATACCCTGATCAATGCTATTGTTGGTGCACAAATTTACAACAGTTGACAAATATTCATAATCAAACATATTTCCAACACATTCATATTAAGTATAATACTTCAAACTCTTGATAAATACAAAACATAATCAAAAACTTCGCCATACTCACTTTTGTTTAGCGGACATTTTGTAGAGTTACAACTCGAGCAACCTTGGTACATCAGCTGGAAAAGCCCGAGTAGAGTTTAAAGGTCAAATTACATCATTTGACGTCATTCGCGTCGCAACCCCGGTCGTTC